CTCCGTGGAAATCGGCCCCGGAGCTCCCACAGGATGAGTTCCCACCGCAGGGGACAGGGAAAAGCAGCAGGAGGTGTTTGAGCTCGGGGGCAGTGACAAAGCAGCGCTGACAGCCTGGCTCCAGCCGCCTTCACGCTCCTTGAGCACACATCCCATGGGATTCCCCTCTGGATAGGGCCTGCCGCCGGCTCTGCAGGAGGCTTGGATCCGGGAGGGATCCTGGGGCCTGGAGGAGGCTGCTCCATCATCATCCTCATCTTCCTCAAGCCTGGAATGCTCTGGACTTGCACCAACCACTCCTTCTCAATCCTGAATTCCAGCCCAGCCAATTCCAGAGGTGAATTCCAGCTTCCAGAGCCAAAAGGTTTGGGACAGGTCTGTGGCTGGCTTGGAGGAGCTTCACGGAGATCTTCCCTTCCCAGGGATCTTCCCTTCATGGAAATCTTCCCAGGGATCTTCCCCCTCATGGAAATCTTCCCCTCATGGAGATCTTCCCTTCCCAGGGATCTTCCCTTCATGGAAATCTTCCCAGGGATCTTCCCCCTCATGGAAATCTTCCCCCTCCATAGAAATCTTCCCTTCATGGAAATCTTCCCAGGGATCTTCCCCCTCCATAGAAATCTTCCCCTCTCAGGGATCTTCCCCTCATGGAAATCTTCCCTTCATGGAAATCTTCCCAGGGATCTTCCCTTCATGGAAATCTTCCCCTCATGGAAATCTTCCCTTCCCAGGGATCTTCCCCCTCATGGAAATCTTCACCTCTGGAGAAGTTTGGAAGTGCTTGAGCCGCCTGCCGGACCCCAGGAGCACCCCCTGGATCCAGCTGGATCCCATCCCCTCCCAGCACCTTTAAATGGGGCCGGAGCTCATTTTGGGAACGTGAGATGAGGTCTCTGTGTGGAAATATTCCCTCCTGCCAATCCTGGCATTAAACAATCCGTGGGATATTCCTCCCGCAGGTCAGGAGGGATTTTTGCCAGGAATGTCACAGCTTTGCAGCTCAAGGTCCATAAATCGGGGACTTGATCCCTTTGAAACCCCCCATGGATGGAATCCCCTGGGAATGGGCAGAATCCCCCGCCAGGACAGGGAATTTGAGGGGCAGCAGGAGGAGGAATCAGGATTTCCCCCCCGCTGCCCTGTCTGGATCATCCTGGCGGATATCCAGGATATCCAGAGGGAATGGGCTGGGATTCCAGTGACTGAACCTGTTTGAAATGTGCTTTTTTCCCCCTTTATTCCCTCACCTGTGTCTCCTGCACACATCCCGGCTCTGCCGGCTATTTTTAGACGCCGGGAATTAACACCTTGATTTGCATTTTCCTGCACTGGCCGCGGCTCAAAGCGATTTCAGGGTAATTGGATAATGACAGGCTGATTGTCATCAGCCCAGACTGTGACAAATGCCACACCTGGGTCACAGGAGAGCCTGGGAGGGACCCGCAGCGGCCCCAGGGAGCAGCTGGAAAAGGGGGAGAGAAGGAATTTGGGGTAAAGAGAGGGAATTTTTTAGGCAAAATCCTAAAATCCTGCTGGAACCAGGAGTTTTTGTGAGTTTTAGGCTTTGGGGCTGAGCTGTTTCTTTGGGAAACTGAGGCCCAGACAGGGATTTCTCTCCAATCCCCCTAATCCAATATTTTCCCACCTGACATGGGCGGAGGATGCAGCTGGGGATGGGAACGATTCCTCCTGCTGCTCCCCGAGCTGGAGCCGGAGGTTTCCTCTTGGCAGGGATGGTTTGGAGTTAAAGCCGAGCTCTTGTGCCCAGTGGGGCTCGGGTTTGGGGCTGAATCCACATTCCTGTCCCCCAGGGAACTGCCGCGGTTCTGGCCCAGCCCTTGGAGTGCAGAACAAGGCAAGAGCAGCCAAAATCTGTGAAAAAGCTTGAAAAACGAGCTGGTTCTCAGGGATTTCCTTCCCGTGTGTCGTGGAATCACAGAACCCTTCAGTTTGGGAAAGATCAGGGAGAATTTGGGAAATAAATAGAGAGGAAAAGAACCTTGCTCGGGGTGGTCACAGCTTTAAGGGAGGATTCCCGTGCCGCCCACCGGTGAATTAACATACCCCTCTTTAACTTTAATTAGTTAAAGGGTCTTTGTCTGTGGTCATATCGGTTTTTAATGATTCATTAGAACCCAAATCTCCCTCCCCAGAACCCAAATCTCCCTCCTGGAACCCAAATCTCCCTCCCCAGAACTCAAATCTCCCTCCCCAGAACCCAAATCTCCCTCCTTGGAACCAAATCTCCCTCCTCAGAACCCAAATCTCCCTCCCCAGAACCCAAATCTCCCTCCTGGAACCCAAATCTCCCTCCCCAGAACTCAAATCTCCCTCCCCAGAACCCAAATCTCCCTCCTTGGAACCAAATCTCCCTCCCCAGAACCCAAATCTCCCTCCCCAGAACCCAAATCTCCCTCCTTGGAACCAAATCTCCCTCCTGGAACCCAAATCTCCATCCCCAGAACCCAAATCTCCCTCCCCAGAACCCAAATCTCCCTCCTGGAACCCAAATCTCCCTCCCCAGAACTCAAATCTCCCTCCCCAGAACCCAAATCTCCCTCCTTGGAACCAAATCTCCCTCCTGGAACCCAAATCTCCATCCCCAGAACCCAAATCTCCCTCCCCAGAACCCAAAATCTCCATCCCCAGAACCCAAATCTCCCTCCCCAGAACCCAAAATCTCCCTCCCCAGAACCCAAATCTCCCTCCCCAGAACCCAAATCTCCCTCCTTGGAACCAAATCTCCCTCCCAGAACCCAAATCTCCCTCCCAGAACCCAAATCTCCATCCCCAGAACCCAAATCTCCATCCCCAGAACCCAAATCTCCCTCCCCAGAACCCAAATCTCCCTCCCCAGAACCCAAATCTCCCTCCCCAGAACCCAAATCTCCCTCCCCAGAACCCAAATCTCCTTTCCCAGAACCCAAATCTCCCTCCTGGAACCCAAATCTCCCTCCCCAGGAACTCCCATTTCCCTTTCTCCTCCAGTTTAAGGCGATAGAACTTTGGAGATGTAACCTGGGCATTATCTGCCTTTTTGGATAACGTTCAACAGGAATTTTAGCCTCATCTTTATTGCCAAAATAAAGATAAATTCAGCTGCTTCTCTTCCAGAGGCTGTTTGGATTTGCAGGCAGCAGAGTGTTTTGCTCTGTGTTTTTCCTGCTGGGGCAGATGTTTTTTGCCCCTGGTGTATTTTATTTGTTTCCCACAGCTCCTCGGCATTCCCTGGCTTGTGTTCCCCTGGGATATTGTAGGGTGCACAGGAATCTTGGAATTGTGGAGTGGTTTGGCTTGGGCTGCTCCCTAAAGTTCATTCAGTCCCACCCAGGGACACCTCCCACCATTCCAGGTGCTCCCAGCTCCATCCAGCCTGGCCTCGGACACTTCCAGGGATCCAGGGGCAGCCGCAGCTGCCCTGGGAATTCCAGCCCAGCCCCTCAGAGCCAGGAATTCCTTCCCAGTATCCAGCCCTGCTCTCAGTTCAAAGCCTCCCTGTGACTCGGCCAGATGCAGGGAGAAATCCCATGGCAATGCCAGCAATCCCCAGCCATGGTGGGAGCAGCGCTCACGTTTTCCTCTGGAATTCATTGCCAGGGAGGAAATGGGGTGGGAGCTTTATCAGGAGCAGCTGTTCCAGTTCCCCTTTCCCAGCCACTCCGTGGCGATGGGAGAGGGTTCCAAAAAAAAAATGAGGGAGGCAGGATCTGCTGGGAAGGTTTGGATTTGATCTAAGTGGGAATTCTGGGATGGGTTTTGTCTCTATTATAATTATCATGGTTTTGTTCCAGGCGGCAGCTCAGGCTCCCCATTATTTTTAATTGGCTTTGTTCCTCGTTAGATCGAACACAGATCCGTCAGCCGGGCACCATTCCTCACGGAATGCAAATCCAGGCACCAAATGTCCAGGCTCCAGCAGTCCTGGGTAAACACGGAGCGCTTCTATCGTGGGAAATATTTTGGTAGGGAATTCTGTGTCCTCTGGGATGAGGGACACGGGGCGAGCTGTCCTGTCCCCGGCACGGGGATGGATTCAGCCCCAGGAAAAACAGGAAATAGGTGGGAATGGGAGGGACACAATTCCCAAAGGTGCATTCCCGCTGCCAATTGTCCTGGAGCAGGTAAATAAGAGGGAATTTTGGCTCAGCTGCTATGAACAACCACTGGGGCTCAGGAAATGCTGGAATTCCTGGAGCATGAATTCTGCTCTTGGCCTCCAGTCCTGAACAATGCCTGAAAATCCTCGGAGCGTCCCCAGATATCCATCGCTCCCACCAGGCCTCCGGAGCAGGACAAGGAGTTGATTCCGGCCATTCCCGCTGGGATTTCAGCATTCTTTGTCCTAAAGGGCTTCCTGTCCTTGGAAAGCAAGGGAAAGGAGCCAGGAGCTAAAAAAGGTGGGATGAAACACGTGAGGACGCGTGGGTGAGGAGGATTTGCGGAGCCGCAGAGAGGGAGGGTGGGAGAAATGGGAATGAGGGTGGGGAGGGGTTGTTTATGTCCAGGAATGCAGAGGATTCTGAAATAGCACCTGGATTTTCCAGGGAGGAGAGAGGGCACTCGCCGTGTCCATGCAGAGGGGTGAGCCTTGGGAGCAGCAGTCGGAGCATGGGATAAATCCTTTCCATTTGGGGAATCCAGCAAAGCTCAGGGAGGATTTGGGACCCACTGAGGACCCTGCACAGCTCAGGGCTGGCACTGAGTGTGTCCCCAGCTGTGTGTCCCCAGCGTGGTCACCTGGCCACTCCGGTGTGGCTGCTCCCTAAAATCCCTGAAATCCCCAAAATCCCTGAAATCCCTAAAATCCCTAAAACCACCACGGGCTTGGTGCCTTTGGGCCGTTCGTTTTCCAGGTGAAATCCCAATCCTGATGGGGTTTTTCTGGGTCCTTTGCTCACACCACAGAGATTTATGGAAGCTGATTCACAGGGTGCCCAAAGATTCCGAATAAACTACATTTGGGGCTGTCCTGGTAAATCCTGGGGTCTGCAACAGCGGGAATGGAAAATTCCTGTAAGAGCCGTTGGGGAGGGGGAAATAAAACGGGGATTGGGATATAATCGGAGTCTGTTCCCAGCCTTCAGCCCAAATTCCAACACCTCGGGCAGGCGTTGGCTCATTTCTGCTGTGCCAAACACGGGAGCACGGCACAGTGGGGTCATTATTGGGGCTGGGATGGGCCCAGATCCCAATTCCCGCCTGGAATGCTGAGCCACTGCTGCAGGGAGCACCAGGGGCTGAGGGGAACAGCCCCACACTGGGAATGGGGTGAAAAGGGAGGGATTTGGGGCTCTGGGGCTGTGGCCATCCAAGGAGGGATCCTGAGCTGCTCCCAGGAGGATGGGATTTGTCCCTGCTGCTGGAATATCCAGCTGCTGAATTCCTTGGGGGATGGAGCACTTGGAGCAGAGGTTTCTGAGGGACACTGGCGGCGTGTGGGGATGGGGACATGGGTGGGATGTGGGGTGACAACAGCTCAGCCAAAATCCTGGAATGGTTTAGGTGGGAAGGGATCCTAAATCCCACCCAGGGCCACGCCAGCCATGGCAGGGTCACCCCCACTGTCCCCAGGGTCACCCCCACTGTCCCCAGGGTCACCTCCACTGTCCCAGGGTCACCCCCACTGTCCCAGGCTGCTCCAGCCCCAATGTCCAGCCTGGCCTTGGGCACTGCCAGGGATCCAGGGACAGCCACAGCTGCTCTGGCAATTCCAGCCCAGCCCCTCCCCACCCTGCCAGGGAACAATTCCTGCCCAAGATCCCACCCAAATCTCCCCTTTTCCAATCTCAAGCCATTCCCTGTGTCCTGTCCCTGCAGGCCTTGTCCCCAGTCCCTCTCCAGCTCTCCTGGAGCCCCTGCAGGCCCTGGAGGGGGCTCTGAGCTCTCCCTGGAGCTTCTCCTCTCCAGGGGAACATTCCCAGGGCTGTACTGGGATCACCCAGGGCTGTACTGGGATCACCCAGAGCTGTACTGGGATCACCCAGAGCTGTACTGGGATGGTCCAGGGCTGTACTGGGATGGTCCAGGGCTGTACTGGGATCACCCAGGGCTGTACTGGGATCACCCAGGGCTGTACTGGGATCACCCAGAGCTGTACTGGGATGGTCCAGGGCTGTACTGGGATGGTCCAGGCTCCTCAGCAGCGCTGCAGTTGCCATGGGAACCGTTCATTGCCCCCACCCTGCCGGGTCCAGAACCTTCTCCCTGAGCTCCCGGGACACCACAGACCCTGGCACCAAGAACTCAGACAATGTTTAAATGACTTTATTTTTTATCTTTTCCTCATTTTATAAATGGGCACAGCACAGAAATAATTAAAAAAAATAGACAGTACCATTACAGTGCTAGATCCATTGGCAAAGATTATTTTTAGAGTCTTTTTTTTTTGTCCTTTTTTTTTTTTTTGTCATTATTTTTAAAGTTTTGGCCATTGAGTAAGAACAAAAACAATTAACAAACATTTTCTTTTCCTTTCCTTTTTCCAAACAGACACTATGAAGCCATTTCAGTACTAAACTCTAGGAGAGTTATGTACATACAAAAAAAAGTTCTGTTTAAGATATGTCTCCTATTAAAAATATTTACATGCATTTTTTTTTCCCTCCCGGATTCATTGAAAGCTCCAACATTTTGCAGCGTTCCAGGTCTTTGTTTTGTTCTCCTACTGGGATTGGAAATCAGCTCCAAAAAAAAAAGTGAAGTTGGAATTACTTCAATCTTCTGGAAAGGGAGATTTTATTTTTTTCAATTTCATTTTTGGGATGTTTATCGATGGATTTTTTTTTTTTTTTGTCTTTTTTTAAAATTATTTTATTTTTAATTTATACAAGAAGGTTTGATGTTTATTTACAGGAGGAGCAGTGGGTGATGGTTTATCCTGGAGATGTGGTGGTGACAGAGAAGGGGGGGATTTTAAAAAGTTTTCCTATCAAACTGCAATGGATTCCTGTTTTTTGGGAGTCTGGTTTGATTGTCAGCCGGGCTGGGGTGAATTCCCTCAACAGAGGGAATTCCTGCAGGAAAAATCCCTGGCACCCTGGAGGTCTTGGGAGAAACGCTGGGATACGGGGAGTGGAAAGCATCGGGAGTTTTTTTAGCCAGATATCGAAACAATGGGAAAAATAAAAATAAAAATAAAAAGTTTGGGTGCTGCAGGCTGAGGCTCCTCCACAGGGATGAGGGGGAGGAGGATGGGGATGCTCCGCTTTGGATCCATCCCAGGATCCCATCCCGGGATCTGCTCCGGCCCTGGCAGCGGCAAAAAGCTCCTGATCCCCACCCCGGCTCACCCCAACCCAGCGGGATCGGGATTGGGATCGGGATTGGGATTGGGATCGGGATCGGGATTGGGATTGGGATTGGGATTGGGATTGGGATCGGGATCGGGAT